TGATGGATATCAGGGTTGTTTCCACTTCCTGGCTGTAAATCGTGCTGCTGTAAACGTGTGTGTGTGTGAATTTTAGGTGGATGTGTGTTTTCATTTCTTTTTTTTTTAATATATATATTTTTAATTTTTTAAAATATATTTTATTGATTATGCCATTACAGTTTATTTCCCCTCTTCATTCCCCTCCACCCTGCACACCCCTCCCCCACCATTCCCCCCTTTAGTTTATGACCACATGTCTCAAGTTCTTTATATTCTATATTTCCCCTTCTATTCTTGCCCTCCCCCTATCTATTTTCTACCTACAGTCTATGCTACTTATTTTCTGTACCTTCTCCTCCCTTCTCCTCCTCCCACTCCCCTGTTGCTAACACTCCACATGATCTTCATTTCTATGGTCCGGCTCCTGATCTAGCTGTCCTCTTAGTTTGCTTTTGTTTTAGGTGTGGTTCTTAGTAACTGTGAGTTTGCTGTCCTTTCACTGTTCATCTTTTTTATCTTCTTTTTCTTAGGTAAGTCCCTTTAACATTTCATATAATAAGGGCTTGGTGATGATGAACTCCTTGAATTTGATCTTATCTGAGAAGCATTTTATCTGCCCTTCCATTCTAAATGAAATCTTTGCTGGATAGAGCAATCTTGGTTGTAGGTCTTTGGATTTCATTAACTGGAATACTTTTTTCCAGCCCCTTCTTGCCTGTAAGGTCTCTTTTGAGAAATCCGCTGACAGTCTGATGGGAACTCCTTTGTAGGTGACAGTCCCCTTATCTCTTGCTGCTTCTAGGATTCTCTCCTTCATTTTAATCTTGGCTAATGTAATTATGATGTGCCTTGGTATGTTCCTTCTTGGGTCCAACTTCTTTGGTACTCTCTGAGCTTCCTGGATTTCCTGGAAGTCTGTTGCCTTTGCCAGATTGGGGAAATTCTCCTTTATTATTTGTTCAGATAAGTTTTCCACTCATGGGGTTCCTCTTCCCCTTCTGGTACCCCTATAATTCAGATGTTGGAGCATTTAAAGATGTCCTGGAGGTTCCTAAGCCTCTCCTCATTTTTTCTGAATTCTTGTTTCTTCATCCTTTTCTCTTTGGTCATTTTTTTTCCTCTTTCTGGTCCACTCCTTTGATTTGAGTCCCAGTTTCCTTTCCATTACTATTGGTTTCCTGTGTATTTCCATTCATTTCAATTAGTTTAGCCTGCATATGTTCCTCTAATTTGTGACTAAAATCCACCAGTTCTGTAAGCATCCTGATCACCAGAGTTTTGAACTGTGCATCTGAAAGTTTGGCTATCTCTTGGTCGCTTAGAAGTATTGGCTCTGGGGCTTTGAGCTGTTCTTCTTCTTGAGCTATAATGTTTTGGTCTGTTTGTGCTTGTTAGTATGAGTTGCGGAGCCTTAGGTGTTCACCAGGGTGGGGCCACCCAGGTCGCTGGGTTGTGATGCTGTATGTGGGGGAGGGGTCAGAGAGGGGCAATGGCATTCGTTCTGCTCCCTCTCAGATTCTGTCCCCTCTGCTGCTTCCCACAAGCAAATTGGGCCCTTCTGGTGCTGGTTCCCGGGTGTGTGGCCTTGTGTACCCTCCCGGACCCTGTAGGTCTCTCCAACGAACTCTCTCGGCACCTCGACCCCAAAAGTCTTTCCAGTTGGTGCTTTCAGGCTCTAATTCCCATAGCTGGGGCCCTGGCCTGCTCGGTCTGTCTCACTGCTCATTCCTTCACCTGGTTTATCTGCGCGCAAATGTGTGACCTCGGTCAGCCAGCCACCCCACGCCTGGGATCCACCAACCACTGCCTGCACTCCTGGGTCGGTCCAGCTGAACTTTCCTGCCAGACCCCGCTCTGCCACTGACTCTGCCCCTCTTACCAGTCTGGCTGCATTTTTGTTACTAAAACTTTGTTGTCTTTAAACTTGGTTGTGCGAGGAGGCACAGTGTTTCCACCTACGCCTCCATCTTGGCCGGAAGTCCAGAGGTGTCCTTTCTGTTTCCATTTCTTTTGAATGGATGTTTGTGAGTGGAATTGCTGGGTCATGTGGCAACTCCGAGGAGCTGCCAGAAACGGCTGCACTATTTTCCATCCTCCCACCCATGTCTTAGGGTTCCAGGTTCCCCACATCCTCACCAGCACCTGATATGTCTGTGTTTTGATAAGAGCCGTCCTTGTGGGGGCGAGGCGATGGATCACTATGATTTTGACTTGTGTTTCATTAGAGGCCAGTGATGTGGACCATCTTTTAGCTGCTTGTTGGCCATTTGTATACCTTTTTTGGAGAATGTTAGGCATCTTTTATTTAGAAATAATTCACATAACATAAAATTCACCTTTGAAAGTGTACACTTCACTGGTTTGTAGTGTATTCTGAGATGTACAACCACCTAACTCAATGATGCTTTATATTCGTGGGGGCCCAGACTGAACAGAACATGGAACGTTCCAGATCCCATCCCCTCCATCCCCTCAGATGGTGGCCTTTGTTGCTATCTATTAGCTTTACTTTTAAAGTGGTGGGTGGAGGTAGATGGTAGTGCCTGCGGATTCCATTTCAGGGTGGTGCTGGGGCACCCCAACTGTTCTGTAATGAGGAGGCATGGGGTCTAGAGGGGGGATCTCTTGCGGCCATTGCTGGTCCCCAGTGCCCGGTACACGGTTGGAAGTTCATGAATGCTCATTGAGCAGCTGAATGAATGCCCTGGCAGAGCCTAGATGAATCTTCAGTGGGTCTTTTTTGGTTGTAATGACAGGGGGTTTCTGGCATTTGGGGGGCAGGGACCAGGGACACTAGCTATCTGGCCCCTGAGCCCCTCTGGGCAGTTCTGGCTACCTCCTGGCTTGTTTGCCTTCTGCCTGGAGCAAGCACAGCAGGCAGGAAGGAAGGCCCGGGTTTATTTTGGTCCATGGCCTGCTCCCCCGGGACAGCAGTCATCCCTCTGGCTGCTTGAATGGGGGTGTTTCTGGCAGAACAATGGGTCGGGGAGGGGAGGGGGCATGCAGCTGGCTGGCCCAGGTGGGGCAGGTCTGGAGACTGGCTGGAGCGTGGAGGCTGGGAGAGGAGTCTGCGGCTGCCTCCGCTCCCAGCTCTTTTCCTGCTGGGCTTGGAGACAGGGGTTGCTGCAGGGGGCCCAGGCCCTTCCCAAAGTGCGTAAATAGGCTCAGCTCCCCTGAGAACCGACACGCTCAACCTCAGGACCTGCGGAGTAAAAGGACTTGCCTGGGCTCACACAGTAACCAAGACAGGCAGAAGGAGCTGGGCTCCAGGGCCCTTGGGGTTCAGAGGCCTGGGCCTCATCCCTGGACTTGGAGAAAGTTTCCCTCTGAACCTCACTTTGCCCATCCATAACCTGGGGAGACTGGACCCAGGCCTTGGGAGAGCCTTCTCATTTCCAGTGTTTGCCCACATCCTTCCCCTTACACGTTCAACAGGCACCGTGGGCCACTTGCTGTGTGCCAGGCCCCGGGCTGGGAGACACAGCCCCTAAACGTGCCACTGGGCCAGGGAAATGGACGTGGAAACCAAGGGGCTTGAGGCCACAACGGAGGATGCCCAGGGCGCCGCGGGAGCCAGGGACACCAGGCCCAGGTTGGCACTTCTGGGAAGGCTTCCAGGGATGCTGAGACTTGAAGGATGAGGAGGAGTTTGTAGGATGAATATGGGGGGAGGGTCCAGGTAGAGGGAATGGGATAGAGTGTTCTAGAGACACTGGTGGGAGGGAACTCGGGAGGCACAGGTACTTGTGCCAAGTGGTGAGCCTGACGCCGCTGCTGCTCACAGAGGCCTCTACGTGCAGGTTGCTGGAGGCTTGGCCCTTAAATGGCAGAGTCCCAGGTGGTGGTGCCCAGGGGACACTCACAGCCTCGTGGGCACTGGGTTGGCCACGAGCTTCTGCCCTAAGGCAGAGTTCTGATCTTCCCTGTTTTACAAATGAGGAAACTGAGGCATGGGGCAGTGATGTTTCTTGACCCAGCAGTCAGAGCCAGGAGTAGGCCCTGAATATTGGGGCTGGTCTTCTCATGGGGGACAGTCCCCAATCCTCTAAGACTCAGAGTGACTTGCAGGTGTGACCTGGGGAAGGTGAAGGGGCTAGAGGTGCAGAGGCACTGGGGGCAGGCAGTCACTGTCCTCTTGTGTGGCCTTGGGGAAGTGGCTTGGCCTTTCTGTGCGTTTTCTTCTGCACAATGGGCAACCTGCCCAATACCTGGTGGAAGTGACAAAGTGGGCGCATGCTGCCAGCTCCGGGCTTGCCACATGGTGCTGAGTCAGCGGGGCTCCAGCTCTGGCCTGGCCTTTGTGGCCCTGAGGTCCGGTGACTGGCGTAGGGGGCAGGGACGGTTGCCCCAGTAATCCCTGTTCCCCGCCTAACCTCTAACATGGCGGCCGAGGGTTGGGACTGCTTCCAGGGTCCGAGCTCCCACAAAGACGGGCTTTGTGGGAGCCTCTTGGGCTGAGTGGGTGCCCACATGACATTCCTGGTCCGGCCGGCCTGGGGCCATAGCCGGGGTGGATTCTGACTAGGGCCTGGGCAGCGGGTGAGGGCTGGGGGTGGGTCTGAGGCTCCCCTCATTCATTCCACAGATGTTTCTGGAGTCTCCAAGGATACGGTAGAGAAGGAATCAGGCTCAGGGCCTCTGCTGTGGCCTGGGGTGAGGCAGGCAGCAGGGAAGCAAAGCAGGGGGTGCTTGGGGTGCTGTGTGGCCTGAGGAGGTGCCTCCCCAACAGTTTGATGGTTCAGGGGTGGCTTTCTGGAGGAGGCAGTGTCCAGCCTACGTGGAGGGATAAATCTGCAAGGAGACGCAGAAGCCTGGGGGCCCAGGCACTGGGGTGTGTATGCAAGTCCACCAGGACAGGGGCAGGGCCTAAGGGGTTTGGGGGAATGTAAAAGTTCACCCGGGAAGAGGCAAAGGCTTGGGAAGGTGGTGGGAGCAAACAAAAGCCACCTGACCAGGCCAGCCCCGTGTGGCCCGGGTCCGTGGGAACTGATGCTGGGTCTGTCTTTCCCCCTGGGCAGGGCCGATGGACACCTTCAGCACCAAGAGCCTGGCTCTGCAGGCCCAGAAAAAGCTCCTGAGCAAAGTGGCAACCAAGACAACAGTGGCTGTGTTCATCGACGACACAAGCAGTGAGGTGCTAGATGAGCTGTACCGTGCCACCAAGGAGTTCACGCGCAGCCGCAAGGAGGCTCAGAAGGTGCTCAAGAACCTGGTCAAGGTGGCCGTGAAGCTGAGCATCCTGCTCCGAAGCGGCCAGCTGGGCGGGGAGGAGCTGGCGCTCCTACAGCGCTTCCGCCAGAGGGCGCGCCGCCTGGCCATGATGGCCATCAGTTTCCACCAGGTGGACTTCACCTTTGACAGGCGTGTGCTGGCCACTGCCCTCCTCGAGTGCCGGGACTTGCTGCACCAGGCCGTGGGCCCGCACCTGACCACCAAGTCCCACGGCCGCATCAACCATGTCTTCAGCCACTTTGCCAACTGCGACTTCCTGGCCACACTCTACGGCCCAGCCGAGCCCTACTGCTCCCACCTGCGCCGGATCTGTGACGGGCTCACCAGGATGCTGGACGAGGACAACATATGACCGCTGTCTACAGTTTTCCTGCTGGGGGTTGGGGAGTCGTGAGGTTTTTTTATGTTTTAAATGACCTCTTTAATCCCCAGTGTGATTCTAGCCAAACTCCCTGGACAGGTGACCCGTCCCCTTTCTGAAGATGCTAAACCATTTACAGCAGCAGTTTTCAGAACCCACGTCACCTAACCGCGCTGGGAGAGGAGCCCAGCGTGGCCGCCAGAACAGCCCCCAGGCCAGCAGCCTGCCCTGTACCTCAAGCCTGCTCGGGTCCACCTGTGCTGAGCAACGACAACCGGATGGTGCCCCTCAAACCACTGGGTGCTCTCTGAAAGCTGATGCTGCCTGCTTCATGTTGTAGCCTGGGCTTTTTAACTCCTTCAGAAAGGACTCATCCTGCCCAGGCTGGTGTGGCTCACTTGCAGGTTTGATTTCTGGCTCAGGCACACATCTAGGTTGCAGGTTCAATTTTCCGACTGGGGGTGCTTAGGAGAGGCAACCAGTCGATGTTTCTCTCTCACATCGATATTTTGGTCTCCCTCTCTCTAAAAGCAACGGGAAAAACATGAGTCATACTGAACTGGGAGAAAGGAAGTGTTATGGGGTGAGCAGGTTGCCCCCCTCATTCCTTTGTTGAAGTCCTGACCCTCAGTGACCCAGATCTGGCCGTAGGGTCGTTGCTGACGTAACTGATGGATGAGATCACAGTGGGGCACAGCAGGCCCCTAACCCAGTGTGACTGGGGCACTTAGAAAAGGGAGAAATGTGGACACAGGAGGAATGCCATAGGAAGAAAGAGGCAGAAATTGGAGGGATGTGCCTCAAACCAAGGGACCCCAAGGATCACCAGTGACCCCCAGCAGCTGGGACAGAGGCCTGGAACAGCCCCCAGAAGGAACCGGCCTGGCCGGCACCTTGGTTCTCAGACTTCTGGCCTCTGTCACGGAGAGGGAGCAGGCTCTCATTTTGGCCGCCCACCCCAGGGAGCGAGCGCAGGGAGCCATGGGCAGGGTTGCAGTGGGTGCTGGTGTATGGGTGAGGACACCTCGATGTACCCAGAACCCTAGCTCTGACTCCCGCGTGGGCAGGGACAGAGTGTGCCCCACGTACAGAGGACACGAAGGTAAAGCCATCTGAGATGTGGGCAGTATTTTCAACAATCGCTTCGTGTTTAGAAAACAAATACACTGACAAACACTTTTCAGACCTCAGAAGGCAAAGCTCACCAAATCGTGGCTTTGGGGACACCCAAAAGATAGTGATTCTCCCCTCGGGCCGTGGATGGACATGCGGGGTGTGGCAGTGTATTTGCAGGTTTTGTCAGAAGGGGGCAGTGTTTGCAAAGTAGGGCTGCGGGTCCATTTGGGTCAGGTTTGGGAAGGTTTCTCCCGAGTGCCCAAGCGGGAGGAGGAATGATGTCCAGTGACTGTTTTACAGAACTGGGTCTGGTCCATTCAGGGTGAGTGTTGCAAACAGGAGGCCTACAGGCCTTATTAGGCTAGAACATGAGTTTGCTTACCCCATCCAGGGTTTGAGCCAAATGGAATCAGCTGACAACACTTAAAAGTGGAGAACTGCACATACCAATCTGGATTTGGAATTTCTCTCAGCAACTCAGCTAAGCCTGCATTGCCTGCTGGTGAAGCTGCATAGAGGTTGCCCCCTCTGCTTTGTCACAGTCTCCACCACTCCCTTTTGCCTCTCCCCAGCCTGTTGTGCTAGTTGATAAGATTATGACCTCAGATTCAAGTTAGCCTTTCTGTGGTTCAAGGAAGCAGAAACCATTCTGCTTCCTTAAAGAAGCCAAAGCCATCCACCTGAGAGCCAGCTCCTCCCACTTCCCGCTCCACCGCTCTAAGGCCAACTTTCTCTCTTATCTGTCCAGTCCTGAGGTAGCTCTTCGTATTTGAGAGCAAAGGTGCATGTTGAGTATCCCAAGAAGCCCTAGATGAATTTTTCCCCCAGATTTTATTTACTTTTAGAGAGAGGGGAAGGGAGGGAGAGAGGGATAGAAACATAGATTGGTTGCCTCTCGCACACCCTCTACTGGGGATCTGCCCCACAACACAGGCCTGTGCCCTGACTGGGATTCAAACCAGAGACCTTTACGTTTCCGAGACAATGGCCAACCCACTGAGCCGAACCAGTCAGGGCCCAGATGAAAATTTTTCCCCTGGGTTCTGCTGACCGAATTGATCAATATGCATAATAATGCTTGTACTTGTTCCTTGCTGGGTTATTCAGCTTCTTGACTCTTCATAAATTTGGGATTTAATTTTGGAAAACCAAACAGCACTGCAGAAAATCTTAAATAAAAGCACATGTCTTCCATTGGCAGTATGTGAAAATGGCTTGACTTGCTTGGTGCTGAGTTTTCTCCTCTTGGGGTTTTTGCCTTTTAAAAAACAATTTTTTAAAATTTCAATTACAGTTGACATACAATATTATATTGCTTTCAGGTGTCCTGCATAGTGGTTAGAGATTTATGTGACTTACGAAGTGATCACTCCGAGAAGTCCAGTCCCCACGTGGCTCCACCCTGGTCGTCACAGTGCTGTGGCCGTATTCCCTGCGCTGCATTTTACACCCGTGACTGCTGGGACCTGCTAGTTTGCACCTCCCTCCCATCGGCTTTCACACGCAGCCTCCTGCTCCCTCCCGTCAAGAAGCTATCAGTTTGTTCTCCGTATCTACGCCCATTTTGTTTCTTAGACTCCACCTGTAAGTCATACAGTATTTGTCTTTTTCCATCTAAATTATTTTACTTAGCATAATTCCCCTCTTGGTCCATCCATAGCGCTGTAAATGGTAAGATTTCATTCTTTTTTATGTCTGAGCAGTATTCCATTGCAAGTATCTATCACATCTTTATCTGCTCGTCTCTCAGCGGACACCCAGGCTCCTTCCATATCTTGACCGCTGTGAATAATGCCGCAGTGAACGTAGGGAGGCACCTATCTTTTTGAATTAGTGCTTTTATTTTCTTTGGCTAAATACCCAGAAGTGCAGTTGATGGATCATGTGACTGCTCTGATTTTTTAAAAAAACTTCATCCAGGGACATTTTTTCCCATTGCTTTTAGAGAGAGAGGAAGGGAGAGAAACATCAATTTGGTTACCTTCCACATGCTCCCCAAGACCGGGCATTGGACCTGCAACCTAGGCACGTGCCCTGACCAGGAATCGAACCTGCAACCTTTTGGTTACAGGATGACATTCCAACAAACTGAGCCACACGGGCCAGGTCTACTTTTAATTTTTGAGGAAACTCCACACTGTTTACTATAGTGGCTGCACCGATGCTCAATCCCACCCTCGTGCACCGTTGGCGGGGCTTCTCCCCCCACACTCGCGCCAGCGTGTTGCTGGTTGGCGCACTGACAGCCACTCTGACCGGGGAGGGGGTGAGATCTCACTGCTTTTGATTCACGTTTCCCCGATGAGTAGTTGAAGGTGACCATCCCTATGTCCTCTTCACTGAAATGTCTACTTGGGGTCTCTGCCCCTTCTTAAGTTGGACTGGATGTTGTTATTGCCCAGTTCTAGGTGTACACCCTTGTGATTGATGATTTCAATCATAAATTTACTGAAGCTTGTTTTGTGGCCTCATGCTGTGGACTACCCTGGAAAATGTTCCATGTGCACTTGGAAAGAATGTATATTTGGCTGCTTTTGGGCAATATACCCTAAAAATATCAGTTAAGTCCACTAGTCTAATGAGATATTTAAGGCCAGCTTCTTGTTGATTTTGTCTAGAACAGGGGTGTCAAACTCATTTTCACTGGGGGCCACAGCAGCCTCATGGTTGCCTTCAAAGGACTGAATATAACTTTACGACTGTGTAAACGTAACTACTTTAACAGTTAAGTGAGAGCTCGGCGCTGTTGCCGGGTAGAAACAAGGTGCCGGTGGATAAAACAAGGTGGAGGCCGGAATGGGCCCGCGGGCCTTGCATTTGCCACCTGCCCTCCAGAAGATCTGCCCATTGATGGCAATGCGATGTTAAAATGCCTGTAACTACTGCATTACTGTGGATCTCTCTCTTACGTCCATCAATATTTACTTTATATATTTAGGTACTCCTGCACTGGGCACATAGAAGTTTACAAGTTATTTCCTTTTGTTGGATTGGATTGATCCCTTTATCATTATGAAATGTCCTTTTGTTACAGCCCTTGTTTTTTTTTTAAAGATTTTATTTATTTATATTTTTAGAAAGTGGAGAAGGGAGAGAGGAGGAAAGAAACATTGATGTGAGAGAAAAACATCAACTGGTTGCCTCTCGCACATGCCCCATCTGGGGACCGAACCCCAAACCCAGGCATGTATGTGTCTTGACTGGGAATTGAACTGGTAACCTTTCGCCTTGCAGGATGACACCCAACCAACTGAGCCACACCAGTCAGGGCTACAGCCCTTGTTTTATTTTATTTATTTTTAAAAGAATTAATTCATAATTTATTTTTATAGAAAGGGGAAGGGAGTGAGAGAGGGAAAAATATCGATGTGTGGTTGCCTCTCACATGATGCCCACGCTGGGGACCAGGCCTGCAACCCAGGCGTGTACCCTGACTGGGAATCGAACCAGCAACCCTGTGTTCACAGGCCAGCACTCAGTCAGTCCACTGAGCCACACCAGCCAGGTAAAGCCCTTGTTTTAAAGTCTATTTTTTCTGATATCAGTATTGCTACCTTAGCTTTTGTTTTTTAATTTCTGTCTGCATGAAATCTCTTTCCCATCCCTTTACTTTTGGTCTGTGTGTATCCTTTGATCTAAAGCGAGTCTCTTGTAGACAGCGTGTGTAAGAGTCTTACTTTCTCAACCATTCAGACACCCTATGTCTTTCGAACGGAGCATTTAGTCCACTTACAAGTGAGGTGCAGTCAAACCTCGGCTCTCGAACGTCTCCCATCTCAAACAGATCGGCTCCCAACCAAGTTGTTCATGGAAAAAATGTCTCAGTTGTTGAACCAGACTTTGGCTCTCTACCCGACAACCCTTTCATGCTGATCCCTGGGAAGAATGATTCGGTTTTCAAACAAATCGCTTCTCAAAGAGGCTTCCAGAATGAATGAAGTTTGAGAGTGGAGATTCCACTGTAATTATCCATGGGCATATAATTATTGCTATCTAATTTTCTGATGGTTTTTGTGGTTCTGTTACTTTATTCTCTTGCTCTCTTCTTGTGTCGGTGACCCTCTCTAGTGCTGTGTTCGGATCCCTGTCTATTTCTTGGACAGCTCTTGGAGATTTTCATCTGTGGTTATTGTGTACTTCACACATACCAAGCTATGATTACAGTGGTCTGTTTTCAGCTGATGGTTGCTTAAGTTCGAACAAATTCTAAAAACTACAATTTTCACTCAACTCCCCCCATATTTATCTTTTTGACATTATTTTCTTCTCTTGTGTCTCCCTTAATTTATTGCTGTAATTACACCTAATCCTACTTTTGCCTTTTAACCTTTGTATGAACTTTATAACTGGCTGACCCACTGCTTTTACTGTTTGCCTTTGCTGGTTAGATATTTTTCTGTCCTATATACATATTTTTAAACTTTTAAAAGATATATTTTATTTATTTTTTTCAGAGAAGGGAAGGGAGGGAGAGAGGGAAACATCAATGTGTGTCTGCCTCCCATGTACCCCCTACTGGGGACTCAGCTGGCAACCCAGGCGTGTGCCCTGACTGGGAATCGAACCCATGACGCCCTGGTTGGCAGGCCACAACCCATCCACCGAGCCACACCAGCCAGGGATTCTTTTCTATATTTTCTTTTTCATATATATATATTTTTACTTAAGACCCTTTAACATTTCTTTGAATACTGGTTTGGTGGTGATGAACTTCTTTAGCTGTTTCTTGTCTGTGAAGCTCTTTATCTGTCCTTCAGTTCTACACGATAGCCTTGCTGGGCAGAGTAGGCTCGGCCATAGGTCCTTGCTTCTCATCACTCTGAATATTTCGTGTCAACCCCTCTGGCCTGCAAAGTTGCTGTTGAACAGTCAGCTGAGAGCCTTATGAGAGCTCCCACATAGATAACTGCTTTTAGAATTGTCTTCAACCTTTGGCATTTTCACTATGATGTGTCTTGGTGTGGGCCCTTCTTTGTGACTCTGCTTCCTGGAATTGTACGTCTGCTTCCTTCACCATGGTAGGGACATTTCCCCTCATAGTTTTTCAGCTCCCCCTCCGCCCCCCACCCCCGTACCTCTGTGCGGCAGATGTTGGTATGCCTGATGTTGTCCCAAAGGCCCCTTAAAGCAACCTCATTTTTAAAAATTCTTTTGTTGTTCCAATTGGGCATTTTCTCCTACTTTCTTACAAATCGCTGATCTGACCCTCTGCCTCATCTAATCTGATATTGATTCCCTCTAGGTATTCATTTTCGTTTTTGAACTCTGAATCTGACAGGTTGTCTCCCTTTCTTTTTCTTTAGATTTTATTTATTTATTTTTAGAGAGAGGAAGGGAGGAAGAGGAGAGAAACATTAATGTGTGGTTGCCTTTCATACACCTCCAACTGGAGACCTGGCCTGCAACCCAGGCACATGCCCTGACTGGGAATCAAACTGGTGACCCTTTGGTTTGCAGGCTGGCAGTGAGCCACACTAGCCAGGGTGGTTGTCTCCATTCCACTTAGTTCCTTTTTTTAAAAAGACTTTATATTTAGAAAGGGGGGAGGGGAGAGAGGAAGAGGGAGAGAAACATTGGTGTGAGAGGGAAACACTGATTGGTTGCCTCTTATAAATGACCTGCCTAGGGACTGAACCTGAAAGCCAAGCATGTGACCTGACCAGAAATTAACATTTCGCTTTGTGGGAATTCACCAAACCCAGTGAGCCACACTGGTCAGGGCTTCATGCAGTTCTTTCTCTGGAGTTGTGTCCTGTTCTTTCATTCAAGGTGTTTGTCTTCTCAACTCGGCTGCCTTCCTGTGATTGTTCCTGTGTACCATGTAGCTCTGCTATGCCTCCTGTGCTTGACAGTGGCCTTATCCAGCAGTTGTCCTGTGGGGCCCCATGGTGTCCTTGGCCACCTGAGCTGAATGCCCTGGGCGGTGTCCCACGTGGGTTGAGTTGTCCTCCTGTTGCAGCTGGGCCTTGACTGCTGCTGCTGTGGGGGGTTGACCTTCAGGCTGATGTGCTGTGAAGGCTGGTCACAATACAGCAGGTGAGTTGTAGTGTGAGGGATGACTTTGTGGGACAGGAGTCACTTTAGCAAGGCTCTGGTGAGGCCAGGCACTGGGTGTTTTTGATCTCGAGCCTCCTGGGAGGGGCTCCAACACAGGCCAAGTTCAGTGTGACTTATGCCAGGCCTTGGGGCTCCTTGGTGGGAGCTACAGTGCTCTATGGTTGGTGGTCACTGGTACCAGACTGGGGCCCTCTGGAGGGCACTACAATGGACGCCGAGGCCCGCTGCCACTCGTGTCAGGTTTGTGACTGCTTAGTTGGAACTATTTCCTACTCAAGAGTGGGGCCACCTGATGGGAGTTAAACTTCAAGTTCAGCCTGGTCATGGCTTGTGCTGGGCTTGGGGCCTCTTGGCAATTGCTATAATGCACACCAAGGCTAGCCACTGCTTTTCAGGATTTGTGGACCTTTGAGAAGTCTGTAGCACAAGCCTAGGCCAGCTACCTCTGATGTGGTTTGTGGATTTGGGGGGAAATATGCAGTGTGAGCTGAGGTAGGCTGTGTGTGTGGAAAAGCTGCTGGAAGCAGCCCCGGGTGGGTGAGCAAGCGGGGTGGGGTGGGGTCTCGGCATCACCAAGTGGGACGGACGGTGTGAGCCAGGTGAACAGAGCACAGTTTTGGTGCCTTCCTGAGCCAGCCAGTGGGGTCGGGGTCGGCCAGGGCTCCACAAGAGCATTGGTGTCTGCCCGAACTCCCGTCTCCAGAGCTGTCCCACTCCCTGCCCCAGTAGCCTCAATGAAATTAGCCAATTTAGTTATTTTCCACGTGTCCCTGATGCTTTTTGAACAGCGGCCCCAGCTGTGGATTTTAGTGAGTTTGTGAGCGAGTGAGCCTGTTTTCAAGCCCTTTAGGAAAAGCACCTGAGCCCTGGCTGGTCTGGCTCAGTGGATTGAGTGCTGGCCTCTGAACCAATCCCCTCTCTGGACAAATGAATAAAATAAATTTAAAAAAAAGAAAGAAAGAAAGAAAGAGAGAAAAGAAAAGAAATAAAATAAAAGAAAAGAAAGAAGGAAGGAAAGAGAGAGGAGGAGGAGAGGAGAGAGAGAGAGAGGAGAGGAGAGGGAAGGAGAGAAAGGAAGGAAAGGAAGGAAAGGAAGGAAGGAAGGAAGGAAGGAAGGAAGGAAGGAAGGAAGGAAGGGAGAAAGGAAGAAAGGGAGGAAGGGAGGAAGGGAGGGAGGGAGAGAGGGAGGGAGAGAGGGAGGGAGAGAGGGAGGGAGAGAGGGAGGGAGAGAGGGAGGGAGAGAGGGAGGGAGAGAGAGAGAGGAGAGGGAGAGGAGAGGGAGAGGAGAGGGAGAGGAGAGGGAGAGGAGAGGGAGAGGAGAGGGAGAGGAGAAGAGAAGAGAAGAGAAGAGAAGAGAAGAAAAAAGAGAAGAAAAAAGAGAAGAAAAAAGAGAAGAAAAAAGAGAAGAAAAAAGAGAAGAAAAAAGAGAAGAAAAAAGAGAAGAAAAAAGAGAAGAAAAAAGAGAAGAAAAAAGAGAAGAAAAAAGAGAAGAAAAAAGAAAAGAAAGCACCTCAGCCCTAGCCAGTGTGGCTCACTTGCTTAGAGCATCATCCAATAAACTGAAAGGTCATGGGTTCGATACCCAGGCAGGACAAATGCCCAGGTTGCAGGTTCTGGGCCGATTGGGGCAGATGTGAGAGGCAGCTGATTGATGTTTCTCTCCTTCTCTCCCCCTCCCTTCCTGTCTCTGTCAATGGCATATCATCCACTGAGGATTAAAAGAAACAGCGCTTAGTCTCTAGCAGCCCCTTCTCTCTCCGGGAGGCAATCCCTGCTGGTTTTCACAGCCAGGTGGGAAAACGCCGGTGCCCACCTGCCCGATGGGAGGCTGTGATCCCTTGCTCCACAGGGAAGACCTCAGTGGCTGAGATGTTCCTTCTTAAATGCTGCACATGGGTGTGGGACTCGCCCATTCCTCATCTCTGTCCTTCCTACTGGTCTCAACATGGCTTCTTTATGTCCTTAGCAATAGAGGTTGTGTTCAGCTGGGCTTCAGGTGGTTCTCAACAACAGCTCTCCTGGGATTTACTTGTAATTCTGTTGTGGCCATGGGAGGTGAGTAGTGTCTCCTATTCTGCCATCTTGATCAGACGGTTCACCAGTTTTGCCTTTTAAATAGACGTTGCAGGTCAATGTCATGCGCATCCGTGGCTCCTGCTGAGGTTTGATTTCTGTTATTCCGGTGTGACAACGGTCTAGCGCAGTGGCAGCTTGGCTCCTGCTTGCCAGACTGGGGTTTAGTTCAGCTTCTCCTCACGAGAGGTGCTGGTGCTGGGGTGGCTTTGTTCTTTAAGGTGCCTGAAAGCTACATAAAGATGCAGGCATGAGCCACACAGGGGCAGGAGGAAGCTCCATTTGTCCAGGGGTGCCCTCCTGTGACCTGGCACACCACATCCACTGTTTTGCATCCTTGGTGACACCCAGGAATTTGCTAGTGGTGATCTGGACTGAATGTGGAAAAACCCCTTTCCCTTCTGCTGACACCTCAGGGCTCAGGGTCTCACTGCCCAGTGTGGCAGGAGGTCCTGGGGGATCATCTCTTGGGTTGGCTGTGCTCACCAGGCCTTGAGGCCGGACCTTCTTAGTTGAGTGACCTTCCCTGTGAACGTGTACAGCCTTCAGAACTTCTCTCATGAGGGGGCAGGACATGTGGCTTAGAAGTTAAGGCTGGCTGGGTCTGTCCCCTGAATGTCTTTGGGGCCCAAGGTCCCTCTTCAACGGTTACCTGTTCTGAGAACAGTTCCTCTCCATACTCACGCACCTTGGCCTGAAACTGGCCTGACTGCACGGCCCGCTGAGGGTGCGGGCAGGTGAGAGCCTCCCTCTGCGCCCTGCAGGTGTGACTCCAGCAGGAGCCCAGCTGCCGTCAGGCTGGCCCGAGGTGAGTGAAAGGCAGAGAGACCCCCATGGACCCAACACGGCGATTTCAGTCAGGAAGGGCCCCACTTTGCAGCCGCACGGTATTTCCCCCTTGTTTGCTGTTTGCTCTTGAAGACTCAGCCAGGGGGCGGACTCCCTGCCCCCACACTGCTGGGAGGCCGAGCGCCTCTGAGTGGCTGGGGCATTTTGGGGTTTCATTCGTTTGCTTGTGGGCGTTTTTCGTTTTCTTGTTTTTTTAAATCACTGTACTGCAACCTGGCTTTTAACAACTAAGGAAAGCAGTCAGCAGGTCAGAAGAGGTCTGCCCCAGAGCACTCAGCCTCCCCCAGCGCCACCAGGGGGGACGAGCTGGACATGGCGGGGTCTCCCACGTGTTCAGGGAGTCGCAGTGCTGGCCCCATAGGGGCTGGCTCCTGTGGTGCTGGCTCCCGGCTACCTGCCCCAGTACCTGCTGCTTTTGTACCTGCAGAAAAGTTGTGCCTAAAGACTCCACAGGTCCTGGGGGACACAGCCCACCTGTTTCCACCAGAGAAGTAGGGGCAGCCAGACCCCGCTGTAGTCCCTGGGCCCAGCCAGGGGGGCACCAGCACCAGACGCCCGGTCTATGTGGTTCTTTGTCAATTTATTTCTTTAGATACAAAAGATTTCATTTCTTCCCAGTTAGTCTGTAGGATGGTCTCCTGGGGAAACTGTGAGAAAACAGTCAGCTTGCGGTCAGAGGGCAGCGGGACCACTCTTCCTGGAATGTCCGGGGCCTGGCCTGTGCCCAAGGGGAGACACTAGCTTCAGAAAAGCTGCGACCCATACCCTACCCCCGCCACCTTGTCTCTCCTGGTACAACCAGCAGCAGGACTTGGACCCACATTCTTAAGTTCAGAGGAGCGAGGGTGGAGGGGGTTGGGGGCAGGGCCCAGCAGGCCCAGCACCTCCTGGCCCTGGACTCTGTCCCAGGGCCCCGTCACCCTGTGGGCCCCTCCAGGCAGGGCAGTATCACCAGGGCAGAAATCCCTCAGCATCCTCTAGGAAAGCGGTAACGTGCCGGCCCTCACGGTGCACGGCCCCTTTGGTAGAGGTGAGGGAGAGCTGCCCTCTGGGGGGCTGCTGGTCACAGCTCACTGCGGGACGCCTTGGCCACGATCACCAGCTTGGACAGCTCGGACTTGAACGCCCCGGGCCTGTGGGACACTGCAAAAGAAGAAACGCGTGGCAGGGCCCTCGAGACCCCACAGGTGCTCCCGGCCAGTGTGAAGCCTGATGGGGTCGGGCAGAGCAGGCGCAAGGTCCCCAAAGTGGACCGCACCTAGCGAAGACCCGGCCCCAAAGTCTTCTGGGCGAGCGACAGGAGAGGTGCAGAGGCTGGCCGCCCTGTCCCGAGGGCAGTGCGAGTACACAGGGAAGCCCCCAGTGGGACGAACTGTGGTTGTCCCTGGTACACCGAGAATAAGTAGAGGTTGGAGCCAGCCTGTACCAACACTGGCGAGCTTGTTGAGGACTCCATGATGCTGTCACAGCAGGGTCAGGGAATCAGCAAACACCGTCTGCCACACCTGGCCAGACCCTGACTCCGTGTGAGCCTTGTCCTATGTGCCCTGGAGCTCAGCGTCTGCCCACAACCCAACACCCTCTGCCTTGACCTCTACTCTGAATGGTCCCCATCCCCTCAAGGGCCTGCAGGTGGGGCTCTACCCAGACCTCCCTTCTCCCTAAACACCCTGCCATGCCATCTCCTCCCCAGGGGTTCATGCTGGGTGACGTCCACAGCCACACGGGTTCCTTCACCTCATCTTTTCCTGAAACTCAGGGCCCTCGGGGCTTCCCCTCTCCTACCCAGCTAACCCCCAAGCCCACCATCCTGACCACCCGCTTGTTCCACCCACCTCTGGGGCTCCCCACCTCTTCCTGTTCAGCATCTGCCCTTCGTGGCCGAACGTGGCTCAGAGGACTGGGCAGGGGGCTCTCAGGAACTCAGAAGGTCCCAATCTTGAAGCTGTGCCTGGTCACAGAGCCCAGGACAGTCAGGCTGCGCGGAGGTCATAGCCGTCCCACAGAGCACGAGGACGTTCTTATGCTCTCAGCTATCTACCAGGGGTTAGTACCGTGCAGCCCGCCACCCCTGAGCTAAGGACATTTTTTACATTTTTAAATAGCTTTAACAAAAACAAAGAAAATGGTATTTTGTGATACGGGAAAGTAATATGACATTCACATTTCCAAGTTTGTAAAGTGTTAAAGTTTTGTTAGGACATAGCCACACCCACTCACTGCTGTCAGGAATGGCCTTTGCCGGATGGGGGCAGGCTGAACAGTTTCGACAGAGGCCATTCGCCCCACCAGACCGAAAATGTTCACTGTAGAGCCAGTTCTGGGAACCGCCCGCAGGCGCCTGGCCGGCGGCCGCATGCACGCTGCAGCAGTGCCCGCCACACGCAGGCCCGATGGCCTGCTGCTGCCCCGCCCCCACGTCCCCCTCGGCTTCCCTGTCCACAGTCCCTCGTTACCCACCTGCCGTTTTGCTCACTTCAAATTCTTCATTTTTCAGGGGAACATCACTCTCTCTTTCAAATGCAGCTTTAGACTGAAAGGAAAAAAGTGGAAACTTTGCTAATTAAGAACAAATAGGATTTGATTTGCTTTCCCAAAAGGCACAGACTAGAGCCTCGCTCTTTTGCTGGAAAGCCGGGTGACGCTCGTTTGAGCACACAAGGGGACTCAGAAGTGGCTCGTGACTCCACTTAAGAGATTGGCAACTGGTTTGAAAGTTCGTGCCTTCACTGCAGATCCTAGGATGAAGGTATTTGATTCATTTTCTTTAATTTATGGAAATGGGACAAGCACAACAGCCTCATGAATATATGAGTATAATTTTTAAAAATCAGAATTGTGTCTCTCTCACAGCAGCTAAAATAATAGTTTTAAAGTGAGAAGAGACCCTGGGGAGTAATTAGATCAAAGCTGTGACAGGCTGATGTGTCACCGGGAGCAGCCGTGTCCAGTTATGCAACGAACCTCCCCCCAGGAGCTGCTGTGAAGGCTTCTTGTGCAGGTGATAAAAATACCTCCTGAACTGATCCTTCTTCTCGACAACCTGGCTGGGCCTGACTCGACCACTGGGAAGGGCCTTCAGGGATGGCTTCCCTGCAGACATCCCACCCGGGGTGGCGGGGGCGGCTTGTGTCTCAGCGCCAGCCCTGCCTGCCAGCCTGCCTGGCCAACCCCTGTGACAGAAGCCAATTCCTGGCACTAAGTCTCTGAATGCCTTTCTCCTACTGGCTCTGTTTCTTCATTAAACATGGCCTGACAGTGGTTTTCACACTTTTGACCCTGATGCGGAATCGGTGGGCTCTGCAGAGTGGCCAGCCTCTGGCAGGGCTGCAGGGATGAAGAAGTGCAGAAGAAGGCGCTGTGTGGGCCGAGAACCTCAGGCCCTTGAGACCAAGGGATGTGGACCTCCACACACAAACCAGTGAGCCACACCGCCGGCCCCTCGGGGCCACTGCCACCCTCACTGCCCGTGTTCCTGTCCCAGGGCTGAATGCCGGGCCTCCGCGCCCTCTAGCTCCCTGTTGGTGTTTCCAAGGGGGGCACTGGCAGGAGACTGACAGACAGCAGGAGAGGGCGTCAGGGTGTGCACCTCCTGCTCTGCCTACCTTCTGGGTTTCTAGGGGTCAGCAGGGCCCTCTGGGCACTGCCACTGCCTCTCCCCCTGCACCTCCAGACCTGGGGGTCTGCAATATCCCGTGTCCTTCCCTGCACTTCCTTGCACTTGCAGGACAGGTGGCACAGGCAGGGTCTGGCCCTATCCTCATCTTGCCCGTCCCTTCTGGGGTCTGAAAGGCGCTGTCCACAGGGGACACCCCAGGCAGCCACCCCGATGCACAGGGTGATACTCACGTAAGCCATGCCGTACTCAATCTCACCACCGCGCACCTCTGCCTTGAACTGTGTGAAGTACAGGTAGGACTTGCCCTGGGGCCTGCAGAGAAAGGTGGGGTCAGGGGTCGGTCCAGGGCCAGGTGTTTCCAAAGCACTGATGACTGGGAAGTACTGAAGGACCCTTGACATCACCACCTCTTTCTGTCTGTTGCCAGACATTTTTCTGGCTTTTTACTGACGAGCCTCTTTCCCCTTCTGGGGGAAGCTGTTCTAGGGCAGGGACCCTCATGCTGGTCCACTGAATGCTTGTTATCGAGTGCCAGTGACATCCACGTATGACAGTGGGGCCGCAGCAACATGCTAAAGGCTGAGAAGTACATGAGTTAACTAGGAAGGGGAGGGGGAAGGCTGGCAGGGCCGCAAAAATGGTGGCTGCAAAGCTCCCTCACAGGTGCAAGTGGGGACACTTACGGGACATGAGGTCAGTGTGGCCAGAGCAGAGAGGAGCCTAAAGAGGTGGACTGGTGACAGCAAGGGGATAATGATGTCTGCAGTATGAAAAGCTCCAATTGGCCACGTGTGTAAAGCTAACAGCAATAGGGGTGGGAGTAGAAAAGGCAGCAGAGAGGCCAGGGAGGAGGCTGTGGGGTGGGGGCGTGGCACCCAGAGAGCCTCCCCGATTCTCTAAGCCTCTGTGTGGACAGAGGGTGGGTGGGCATCTGAAAGCTGGACCGTGGCTGAGCAGGTGTCTGGAGATGAGTGAGGACTTGGGCCTGCGTGGCTGGCCGGGGTGTATGCCCCCGGAGGGCTGGTGTTCACACGCCCCGTAAGAGGCGGTGACCTGCGCGCTGCAGAATACAGCCCTGTAACAAGCCTTCCCTGTAGAGAGCACCCTGGGCTCCTTTCTTTGGGATGCTTCTCTCTGAGGCCAGGGGAGGTGACACAGGCAGGGTCTGGCCTGATGAAGAGTAGGGCCCCTTGCCCCTGGGGAAGTCCAGCAGAAGGACAAGAATCCTCGCAACAGCACCCAGTTAACACCTGCAGTTTGTGTGGCACTGAGTGGGAGACTGTGGGGCGGTACCTGCAGGCATGATTGAAACACGCCGTATGTCCTTACTGTATGCCTGAAACCTGTGTAATTTAATGAACCAATGTCACCCCAATCAATACAAAACAAAAAATGTGTTGTGTCGTTTAATTAATGTCGAGTGCCTGCTCTCCCACTGTGTCCAGGGTCTGTCTCCTGGGTGGACCCTGGCCCCCCGGGGGTGGGGCCACAGCTTGGACTTTTCCTGTCGAGCATCCAACATATGGTCAAGAAATTGGTGCTGTTTGGGGCGACATACTCTAGGCAGAGGAGCCCAGGGGAGAAGGGACACAATTCCATGCAGCGCCATCACCCTCCTCCCCACCCAGAGCCACACTCCCTCGCCTTCGCCCCTTCCTAGGCTCACCATTCCCACATCAAGTGGATGCCAGCAGCGGGGTTACAAGACGGCTAAACAGGGCATCAGTCCCTGGTGGGGAGACTGTGTCCACGAACCATGAACGTGACTGAGGGTGATAGTCGCAGAAGAGCACCTGTGGGCCTGGCCCCACTCCCTGGCGCCCTGGCCACCACTTGGACTGCACCTCCCCAGGCCCCATGGCCTCCTCTAAGCCTCAGTGTCGAGAGCTCCCCGGGGAGCCCTCTGGCCCTCGCCAACTCCCAGCACAATGTGGCACTCCCTCTGTGTGCCCCTCCAGGGCCACACAGCATGCTCTGGTCTGTCTGCGCCCCTCAGAGCAGCCGTGCACTCACCCCCAGCAGCCTGAGCCAAGGCAACTGCCCCCAGGAGACCCCACCGCTGGGACCCACAGCTCACCTCCAGATGGTGCAAGTGAAGTGCTGGTGGTCTTCGCTGGTCCCCAGACTCATCTGCCACTTCTAGAGAGAGGAGAGAGACATGGGTCAGTCCGGACACGCTCTGACAGCCTCAGGTTTACTTCTAGTTCTGCAAGGTGAGCAGCCCTTTCCTGGGCCCCCAGGGACCACCACACTGTCAGTGCCCTTGTGTGAAGCTACAATTGTGGGTACATGTCATTTTACATTTGACCAGACCCAAAAAATAAGTGCACACAAGAGTGAACCCTAATGTATGAATCTGGGGTGACAATGATGTGTCAGTGTGGGCCCACTGACGGTAAGAAATGTCCCCTTCTGGGGGGGGGAGCTGTTGACGATGGGCGGCCTATGTATGTGGAGAGGGGCGAGGGGGTATATCAGAATTTCTACGCCTTCTGCTCAATTTTGCTGTGAACCTAAAACTGCTCTAAAAAATGTCTGTTAAGAAAAATAAAAACAAAAAGAAAAGGAAAGACAGTGCACTCCTGCCTGCTTGCAGAGCATGAAGAAGTACTAGGAAAAGACACAACACCTCAGTAACCATGGTTACCAGCTGGACGTGGGCAGGAACTGGACAAGTAGAAGGCCCTGTCACCTTTTACAGGTTCTTCTTTTTCAACAATGTATATGTATTAGCTTGTTTAAAATTAAAATTTTAGAAATAAAAGAATGAATGAAAAAATTTTTAAGTAGTTCCAAAACACACCACTACTAGTATATTCTGATTTCCATGGGCTCTGAGAAACAGTCAAATGGAAAACCCACTGTTACCTTCCAGGCTGCCTAAGGCACTTGCACAGTTTGTCAGTAAAAGTAGTTTACAGTGCCCCCCAAAAGTAATGATGAGCTCCCATAACTGGTCCAGCATCGAGGCTTTTTCATTATGGAAACAAGGCGGTTTTTATGTTAATTATCATGGGAGTGAATGGGCACTTAGAGCCTTTTGCCTGCAGCACGGATGCAGGAGCCAATTACTGGCTTACACACACTGTACAATTCACCCCATTAAACTGCAATCAAAAGTCAGGTCCAAGATGGTGCTGGAGGTGGACACTGAGCTTGCTCCCTCCCAAGAACAGAAGAAATGTTTAGAGGACATCCTTCTGAGAGACAACTGTGAGCTAAGTAAACAGCTTCTGCACAACGAGCGTGAGAAACCAGAGAGAAGGATGAGAGAGCTGTCTGAGAGTTGAGGACCCCAGGGAGCACCCTTGCTTGTTTCCCCCGCTTGTGCAGATAGAGCGAGAGCTCCGTCCAGGTTCTTTGGTCAAACTGCAGGGTGCTGTTGCTGGTCCTCAGCCAGTTCCAGCTACGGCCAGCAGGAACAGACAGATGCCATAGCGTGTATACAAGGGGCCCCCGCCCCGAGATCGATGCTGTGGTACAGCAGGGTGCCACTTCACGCATCCACTGGGCTGCTGTGTGTATGTGGAGCCCCCAACCTGGGAAGAGTGAACAGAAAGTTGCAGCACCTGCCTACAGGGCTACCCTGTCCAGGGAAAGTACAGAGATGGTGAATTGCTACTGCGTGTTCACAGGGGGCTTCTCCACCTGATGAAAACAAGGAATTGGCAAAATGCTGCAGTACCTGCGCACAGGGATGCCCCATGGAGAGAGAGTGGGGCACGGCTGTGCCAGTGTGCTCACACGTGGCTGCGCACGCACACCAGGCTGCCCCACAGGGACAAAGGGTGGAGGTAATAGGGCACTGAGACAAACACACAGAGCAGTCTTGCTAGGACCCTGCTCTGCCAACAGACAAACAAGGCAGGCAAAGTGCACAGCCAGCAGTCCCGCCCACACCAGCCTGCCTCACCCAGAACCCACTGCTACAGGCCAGGTGACGCACCAGGCACCACACGTGACGCACCAGGCACCACACGTAATGCCCCAACCACCACTGGCTTGCTGAGGCCACCCATCACACAGCTTACACAGGGACCACTTTTTAAAGACTGGAGAGCCTATTCCACCCACCTCATAGGAATAAACACAGAAAGTCAAACAAAATGGGCAAAGGAATATGCCCCAAATGAAAAAACAAACGAAATACAGAGAAAAACCCTAATGACATGGAGAGAAGCGGCCTAATAAAGACTCTGAACAGCCCTGGCCGGGTTGCTCAGCTGGTCAGCTTCGTCCTGATACGCCAGGCTGCAGGCTCACCTTCAGTCGGGACACACGGGAGGTGCCCAGTGAAGCATCAGTAAGTGGGACAACACACTGGTGTCTCTCTCTCTCTCTCTCTCTACCCTCCCTCCCCAAGATCAATCAATTAAAAGAATGAAAGTCACTTGAATGTATCTATATATAAATAGACAATCATAATGCTCAATGAACTTGAGAGTAGCACCAAGGAATTCAGAGAGCACTTGGACAGGGACAGAAGACACAGTAAAGCACCAATCGGAGACGCAGAACACAATAACTGAGAGGAAGAACACGTTGGAAGGAATCGACATCAGATTAGTTAACACAGAGAAACAAATTAGTGACATGAAGACCGAATACTGGAAATCACACAAGCTGAACAGCAAAATGAAAAAAAAAATTTTTTTAAACTGAGGAAAGGCCCTGACCAGTGACCAGTGCAGCTCAGTTGGCTGGGTACTGTCCCGCCAAGTGAAAGGTCGCTGGTTGGATTGTCGGTCAGGGCACAGGCCTGGGTTGCAGGTTGGGGCGTGTACAAGAGGTAAATGATCAACGTGTCTCTCACATCAATGATCTGAGCTGGTTTTTTGAAAGAATTAATAAAATAGACAAGCCTTTAGGAAAGACCAATCAAGAAAAAAAGAGAACACAAAATCAGAAATGAAAGAGGAGAAGTTAAAACCAACACCACAGAAATAAAGAATCATGAAAAAATATATAAACACTTATATGCCAATAACTGAATAATATAGAAGAAATGGTAAATTTTTTGAAACATACAACTTTCTAAGACTAACCGGGAAGAACAGAGAATCTGAACAGACCAATTACTAGCAATGAAATTGAAGCAGTAATCAAAAAACTCCCAACAAACAAAAGCTCAGGACCAGAGGGTTTCACAAGTGAATTCTTCCACACAGTTCAAGAAAAATTAGTACTTAACTTTCTCAAACTATTCAAAAAAATTGAAGAGGAAGGAATGCTTCGAAACTCATTCTAAAAGCCCAGCAGTACCATGACATAAAACCTGACAAGAATACTACCAAAAAAAAAAAAATTACAGACCAGTATCCCTGAAGAGCATAGAAGCCAAAACTCTCAACAAAACACTAGTAAGCTGATTTCAACAGTACAGTAAAAGGATTATACACCTTGATCAAATTAGATTTATACCAAGGATGCAAGGCTGGTTAAACATCTACACAACAATGAATAGATTCATCACAGCAGCAAAACCAAGGATAACAATCATATAATTATTTCAGTAGATGCAGAAAAAGCATTTGACAAAATTCAACATCCATTTATGATAAAAACTCTCAACAAAGTAGGTACAGAAGAAACTTGCCTCAACATGACAGGGGCCATGTATGACGAGCCCACAGCGAGCGTCGTGCTCAGTGGTGAAGAACGGAAAGCTCCTCCACTAAGAGGAGGAGCAAGGCAAGTGCCCATTCTCACCACTACTATTCAACACAGTGTTAGGAGTCCCAGCCACAGCAATCGGCCGAGGAAAACAAGGCATCCAAACTGGAAAGGAGGAAGTGAAACTGTCGCTGTTTGCAGATGGATAATACTATATATAGAAAACATTAAAGAATCGACCAAAAGTGATTTAATAAAGAATTCAGTAAAGTAACAGGGTACGAAATTAATATGCAGAAATCCACTGTGTTCCTGGACACTAATAACAATCAATCAAAAGGAGAAATTAGGAAAACGATCCCAGTCACAGTCGCATCAAAAAGAATAAAATACCTAGGAATAAATACCCAAGACAGTAAAAGACCTCTACTCCAGAAATTAAAAGACATTGAGGAGAAAAACTGAAGAAGATCCAGATTAAATGGAAGCATATACTGTGCTCATGGATTGAAAGGAGTAAATCATTAAAATGCCCATACTATGCAAAGCAATCTACAGATTTAATGCAATCCCTATCAAAATACAAATAACATCCATCTCAGAACTAGAATAAATAATCCTAAAATTTATACGGAACCACAAGACCACAAATAGCCAAAGCAATCATGAGAAAGAACAAAATTGTAGGTATCATGCTCCCTGATTTCAAGCTATATTGCAAAGCTATAAAAATTAAAACAACAGCCCTGGCTGGTGTGGCTCAGTAGACTGAGCACCGGCCTGAGAACCAGGGGGTTGCCTGTCCCATTTCCAGCCCAGGGCACATGCCTGGGTTGAGGGCAAGGTCCCCAGTAAGGGGCGCGTGACAGGCAACCACACACTGATGTTTCTCTCCCTCTCATCCCCATTTTGAAAATAAATAAATAAAAATCTTAAAAAATCAAAACAACACGGTACCGACACAAAAAAGACATATAGGTCAATGGAACAGAACAACCCAGAAATAAACCATGCCTAAATGTTCCATTAATCTACAACAAAGGAGGCAAGAACATTCAATGGAGTAATGATAATCTATTCACTAAATGGTGATGGGTCCTGGCTCGTGTGGCTCAGTGCAATGAGCACTGTCTGCAAACTAAAAGGTCACCAGTTAGATTCCCAGTCCAAACACATGCAACTGGATCAGATCCCCAATCAGTGGCACCTTAGAAGCAACCAATCGATGTTTTTCTCCCACTCTTTTCCCTTCCTCTTGTTTAAAACAATCAATAAATAATACTTTTTACATTAAAAGTATAACTCTAGAAAGTAATAACAATACTCATATACAAAATAATACCCTGGAATGCGATAGTCAGTATTGTTTCTAAGTATAAAATTTTTTTTTTAAATGAAAGATTTTTTTCCTGAAAGTTTGGGTCACAAACATGGGTGAGCATTATACATGGGAGCACATTATACTCAGCAAAATATGGTATTCAGCACTTCAGACGAATGAAATCTTGCCATTCGCAACAACACAGTTGTACCAAGAGTGTGATGATACGTGAAATAAGCCAGAAAGAGAAAGACAAATATCATATGATTTCATTTACATGTGGACTCTAATGAACCAAATGGGGATACAAAACAAAACAGAAACAGATCTATGGACAGAGAATGAGCTGATGGTTTCCAAAGGGGAAGGGATGGGGTAGTTGGGGAAAAAAGCCTGGGCAGGGCAGGGCGGGGCTGGGTCCTTTGCTGTTCCACAAGTAAAATCAAGGTGTTGGTCAGACTGTGTTCCCAGCGGAGTTGGGGGCTTCTTCCCATTCTAGGGGTGGTGGCAGAATCCTTTCTTTGTGGTTGTAGGACTGAAGCCCTTGTTTCCTTGATGCCAGCAGGGGCCACTCTCACCACCTAAAGGCCACCTGCACGTCTAGTCACATGGTTCCCTCAAACCAGGCAAAGGTGCAACGCACCCTTCTGGTGCTTGAAATCTCTCTTACTTCCTCTTCTGCAACCAGCTGGGGAAAACTTCCAGCAAGGAAATGAGGACCTCAGCCCTATATCATAAGGAATTGAATCCTGCCGACAAACTGATGGGAGCCCATTCTGGCCAACAACTTGATTTTGATTTTGGTTTATGAAGATCCACCTGAGCTGCCAGGACTTCTGACCCCCAGAACTGAGAGCTGATAAATGGGTGCTGTTTTAAGCTGCTATGTTTGTGGTGATTTGTTCGGCAGCACAGAAAACAAATACAACACATCTAACAGAGGCTCATGGGAATAGCAGATTCACATCTCACATCCTTTCGTCTGTTCAGACATGTGTTTACTCTGTGAAATTGAGTGGAACACACCCTCACTATTTAACTTTAGCACTCTCGCTTTTATTGGTTAAGTGAGAATAATTCAATGAGTGTAAGTTAATCGAAGCACAACTCTCCCCACTCACTGTCCCTGGAGAGCATCTCTGTATGGCAGCAGATACTGTCATACTAAATTACATGGAATTTTGAACAACTCACCTCATTGGTCCCTCCTTGAGAAGCATAGGTGAATATACAGGTATATTTGTCCTAGAAAATGGAATGGGGAAAAAAAAAGGCTTGGTAGGAGGTAATACTTAGGACTTAAGGTGCAGGGTCTCAGGATGTCTTTCTAAGAACCAGAATCAAGAAAATCCTGCTTTTGAACATCTGCACTAAAGGGGAAGGAGGCAGATACCTCTGGCAGATGTCCCTGGAAGTGTCCCTATGAGGCATCCCAGTGGCTGCCAACCTAGAATTCCCCTGCCTGCCTCCCTACTGGTGAGCTCCTGGGTCAGGACAAACAACCCATGTGGCTTCTGAGAAATAAAGAACAGGAAGGAGGTCAGACCCCTGCTAGCACCCACCCCTCCAGGAGACAGGGCTTTGGGACACCGAGGAGAACACCCGGGGGCCCAATTCTGCACTGAAGGCAGGTGCAAGCCTTTCTGAACCTCTATTCCCTCATCTGCAAGAGAGGCCTAACGTATAAAGCATTCAGCACAATACCCCGCTGTTAAGTTAATACTCATAGGTAGCAACAATGATAAAAGAGAATGGAAGAGGCAGCGACTTCTTTCGTCTAGGCAAAGAAGGGCCTGGCCTCACACTACAGTGAAATAGACCCGGAACTTGTGCAATAGAAGGAACAATGTCCACTTCCTCCCTCGTCAGAGCCGCAACACGACCAACCTTCTTCTGCGGGACACGGAGGGGACCTGGAGGCGCGTAGCCGTCAGTCTCCAACCCCCCTCTCCCCACCTCTGTGTTGGCCCTGCCCTCCAATGTCTGGGAACTCGCCTGGGTCTGGGGGATAGGGCTCCTTGGGCATGCTGGGCATGTGAGAGGAGACAGGGACTGGGGTTAGTGACCCAGCTCTCTCAAAGTCGCCAGCCTCCAAGTCGGCACCCATCCTCAAGCCCCGCTCCCGACGTCGGAGCTCCCTCCTCTGGCAGAATCCCCTCCACAGGTCCCGTCCCCGCGGGCATTTTGCTCAAGCCTCCAGCTCAGCGGCGTCAGTTACCCCAGGGCCCACGTTCTGGGAGAAGGTGTGCACAACGCCACCGGGCCGCACGTCAAACGCCACCGTCGTGGGCTCGGACACCGCTTCTGCTGGCCTCAGCGCCACGGCCGCCAGAAGCAGCGTGGCCCACAAGCTTCCACAACCGCCACCGTCCCTCCTCCAGCTGGGCGCCGCCATGTTGGAATCGGGTCCGTGAGCCAAACAGCGGAGCTATAAGGACGCGTTGGGCGTTCCCCCGAAGGCCACGTCAGCGCCGGGGGACCATGTGACCGGGCGCGCCCCGCCCCGTCATCGGGGCGGGGTTTGGAAGTCCACGCAGCGGCCGTGGGGTAGATGTTTTTGATTCTGTTGTCTGTTAGTATGTGATTGACTGTTCAGCTCTTACAGTTAGTAAATGTACAAGGAATGAGGGAAATAAAAGATCGCCACTAAAATTCAAGTTAATAAGTATAGACAGTATGAGGGAAATGGAAGATGACCATTGGGCAAACACCTCGTGGTCGTTGCAGGCAAATTCCATCTATTAATGGTGCTAAAAATTGGTGATGGAAAAGGTATGGTTAGAAACAGGATATTTGCATAGTGTCAAAGAATTTTCTCCCCCCAAGATACTTATTAATTACGAGAAAAAGGTGATTTTACGGTGGAGACCACCATAGCCCAATGGTCAAAGTTAACGTCACCCCAGGACACACTGAGAACACACACCTTCTCAGTGGCTCCTCTGAAACTCCTGTCCAAAGTGCTTGACCTCAAGCTAATCATAAGAAATTGTTATTTCAAAATAAAAAATCAATAAAGTATCCTCAACTCAAGGGGTTGCCAGGAGGTTTAACTGAGGGAAATGCAGGCAAAAATTCTAAATTCTAGTTATTACTAGTATTAGATACCAATGAAGAAATTACAGGTTTTCAATTACAGAAGGAAAAAAAATTTTTTTGGTCAAAAATTGCTTCAGATTTCAAAAAAATATCAATAGCCATGTCTGGGTTGTCCAAAATTAAGCTGTTTTTCCTAGTCCTTCCTGACTTGAAAGAACAGAGCTCAGAGAGAAAATGTCACGGGTAAACCCTCAGCCAGGCTGTATTCCACTCCTTATGGAACTCAAAGCTCAACTCCCAACACGCCCCGGGAAACACACACAGAAGATGAAGGTTCAGCGTCAGGGAAGTCAGGAGGCTCCTGCAGAAGGCTGACTGCTCCCCAGATCATCTTAATTCCAGAATTGTTTTGGCCGCAGCAGCCTGTCCTTAATGGGGACACCTGCTTGTGGTTAAGTAACTTCCTCCTAGCAGCTGCTTTGGACTCACTGGCAATTGGCCCCATAACCTGGACCACTGTCCCGTTTCTTTGGCGTTTCACGCAGCACGACTCCATTCCTGTCTTGCCTATTGTCAGCCCGTGTCTGACCTTCAGCCTGTCACTGTGAAGAATCCAGTTAGTGGCCCAGAGCTGTTGCTAACAAGACACTGCATTTCGATCGTGAGTTGTTTGGGTCTCCTACTGAAGAGGGGTAGGTTTATTTTATTTTATTTAATATTTTATTTGTGTGTGTGTTGAGAAGAAGAGCCCTAAGCCTCTTTTTTTTTTCCTAAAAAAAAAAAATCATACTGAACGAATTAAAAGAAAAAGCCATCGTTCCAAAGATCCTGCTTTCTAATCCAGCAGTCCTAAAAACAAAAACAACAACAACAATAAAAACTGATGACACAAACATTATGGACTTCCTATGTAAGGACACCATAAACAGGGTCAATGTGGATATAAGGGGACTGCACCCAGCTCCTTGTGGTGAATAAACATTTCTGTGTTGTGATTGTGGTGAAGGTTACAGGAATCTGCTCAGATGACAAAGTGGAAGAGAACTACACACACAGAGAAATGAATGCATGCGAAAGCTGATACCATGAGAATAAGGTTTAGAGTCTAGTTAATTGCATTGCCCTGCCAGTTTCCTGGGCTGACAGTGCACTCTGGTTAAGATGTAAGCTGGGTGAAGGGTATGCAGGACTCTGTGCTATTTTTTGCAATTTCCCATGTGTCTAGTTTTTTTTTTTTTAATGCCATAAATATGTTTGGAAGGCAAACGACAAGCCAGGAAAATACCTGCAATGGATATGATAAGATTTTATGTCCATCGCATACCGGTCCTTGCTAATAGGGGAGAGAGGCGCGCTTGCACCAGGAAAAGAGTCAGGCGCACACACAGGGAACCTCACACAGCCTCGGGGACCTTTGGCTGACGGAACCCCCAGCAGTGGTGAAGGGAACAAGTGGCCATGGATCAGCAGGAAGAAACACACATTTCTAACCTGCCACCTCTGAGATATCGAGACCTGCTAAGGTACAGTCCTTTTGTAGCTGCCCCTCATCCATTTCCCCTTCCTGCTGGCACCCCACTTCCCTGTTTCGACCTTGTTTTGGGGGCAGGAGTGTGACTAACCAAAGTTTGGCTGGTAGATGTGGTCTCATGACAATCTTGAGTGCTGACCGGGTGAGACAGGGGTAGAAGATTCTGATGAGTTCCTGCTGAGCTGCCAAGCCTCCCGGGGCAGCCCCAGTGTCCCCTTTCTCACCAGTTTCTATTCTGTGACTTACGACTAGTTCCCTTTCCACTCCATTTCACAGTGGGTTAAGTGAAAGACGTCGTGCTTCTGAGAGGATTGTAAGCATTCATCGGCTGAGCTTCCTAAACAGTTTGAAATCGGCAACATAGTCCAATTTGCACCCTATATGACAACAGGTATTTATGAACAGTAATTCATAAGGACTCTACCTTATGAATTACTAGTAAACAAGTGTTTTAACACATAAAAGAAATTTGAGTGCAATTACTGTGAGACGCCATGTTGCACCTGTAAGATGGGAGGAGGTAGGAATGCCCAATGACGCGTGACACTGGTGGAGGAGTGGAGAAGCTGGCGCACTGCTCTCCTGGCAAAGTGTACACCGAGGCATTCGCTTTGGAAGGCAATTTGACAGACTTTTTAAAATTAAAAATGAATATGTCTTTTCCTAATTCTAGGAATTTACCCAATAAACTCAAACATATACCCAAAATATGTACAAGGCAGTTGGTTGCAGTATCATTTATACCAGGGGCTGTCCAACTACAGCCTGTGGGTTGAATCTGGCCAGCTGCCTGGTTTTACAAATAAAGTTTTATTGGCACACAGCCATGCCTACTTATTTATGTATGTTGGTGGCTGCTTTTGAACTACAAGGGGGAAAGTTGGGTAATTGGAACACAGACTAGCTGGCCCACAAAGTCCAAAATATTTACTATCTGGCTCTTTACAGAGGAGGCCAGCTGACCCGATTTATGCTGATTAATACAAAAAAGACCCAAATAACTTACTCCTTGATAAGTGCCTGGCAAAATAAATTATGGCACATTCACAAAGCTGAATAGAATGCACTTATTAAAAATGGAGACTAAGGCCCTGGCCACTGTGGCTCAGTTGGTTGGAGCATCATCCAGTAACCAAAAGGCTGATTTGATTCCCAGTCAGGGCACGTACCTAGGTTGTAGGTTCAATCCCTGGTCCAGGCACTTACAGGAGGCAATGAATTGATGTTTCTCTCTCACATGGATGTTTCTCTCTTTCCCTACCTCTCTTGCTAAAAAGCAGTAAAAAATTGTCCTCAGTTGAGAATAAAAAAAAAGAGACTAAAGAGGGCTTACCTGTGGAGTGGGAGGGAGGGTGTCTTTCCTCTCCGTACCCTTTTATACCCAAGTTCATTTTTTTAAGCCAATAAAAATGAAGCCAAGGCTGGTATGGCTCAGTGGATTGAGCACTAGCCTATGAATGGAAAAGTCACCTGTTCAATTCCCAGGGCACAGGCCTGGGTTGTGGGCCTATGTGAGAGGCAACCAACTGGTGTTTCACACATTAGTATTTCTCTCCCGCACCCTCTCTAAAAAATAAATTAAAATCTTTAAAAAACAACAACAACAAAAAAGAATAAAAGTGGAGCCCTGGACGGTGTGGCTCAGTTGGTTGGAATGCCCACAGATTAAAAGGTTACAGGTTGGATTCCCAGTCAGAAAACATACCTGCTTTGTGGGTTCAATCCTGGTCAGGGTACATGCGAGAAAGCAACCAATTGATGTTTCTCTCTCACATCAGTATCTCTCCCCTTCCCCTCCTCTCTCTAAAAAGCAATGAAAAAATGTCTTCATGTGAGGGTAAGAAAAGAAAAAGAGGTGGAGCTTCTCAGAGGATGGAAGGGGTGATCACACTCAGCAAGACTGTTCTGCGCCAGAAACTCCGGTGCCACACATACCGTCTACACAGGCACAGTCGTCAGTCTCCCCAGGTCTCTGCTGTGGGGACAAACATAAAAAGGGGGTTTCCAGATCTCCGAACCACGGCGTCAAGTCTCTGGACAAGCACAGCTGCAAAAGGAAGACAAGGTGGCCCACAGAGCACTTGGCCAGAAGGATGCGGTGCCTCGGGTATTGCTGCCCTGGCAAAGGGTGGCAGACGGAATAGGCCACCTGCCACACCCTCTGCTGGGCCCTCAAGCGACACATCAGGACAGTAGGCTCTGTCCTCCCTGGGCCATTCTGATGAGGAGTGGGGCATCTTCCAGCCAGGGCACGGCGCCCCTCCCCCTTTTGTGCTGAGGTGCCCGGGACTGACTGCAAAGACCATCGTGCCTTTGGCTCCATCACCACCTGGACTCTGCACTCAGAAAGGCCCCATCCCCACCCCCAGGGCTTCGAAGGAACTGTGGGCGGGGGCAACACTTCCATCTGGAATCCTTTAATGAGACTACTCCTTACACGCGTAATTATAAAAGAATAAGAATTGACAAAAATATTTTCTTTCCATAATATGTAGAGGTGGTTTGTTTCTGGTGGGTTTTTTTTTCCGTTTTCTTCTTCTTCTTCTTCTGCCCACCCCTGGCAGAACTCTTGGCAGGGAGGGAAAGGGAGGAGTAAAGAGAACCCTGAGGCGGGGATGGTTCCACTCCCAACCCCGGAAACCGGTCTGTGCAGGCCCGGCAGGCGTGTGGCCAGAGGGCTGGGAAGTGGGCACCAGCCACGAGGCAGCAGAGACCGAAGCTGGACGAGTTCAGAGCCTACCTGAAGGCTGGGAGGCGGGCCCAGGAGGGCAGCCGTGCATCGCTCATACCTGCCAGCCACTGCTCCCCACTCTGGGCTTCGAGAGAGGTGGGGCTCCCCAGGTGCTGACCGGGCTGAAGCCCATTGCTCAGCGGCAGACCCCAATTCTAGATTTAGGCACCCCTTGCTTTCTGTCTTTTAAATAATTATGAAAAACGTCCCCAAAACAAAACACAAATGGGAAGTGGGGCAAGTGGGGAGAAAAGGCAATCGCATGCTTCTGTGCTGGGTGCGGCAGTGGGTCAGGGCCCAGGAGGCAGACCCAGCCTCTCCGGTGGCCAGTAGAGTTCAGGCCTCCCGCTCACAGACAACGGGAAGAGGAGAGGATGGCTTTAGGAAGTGCCTCGTGGATGTCAGCCTTGTCTTTCTGTCTTGGCAACCAAGAAGCAGCAGGCAAAGAATCCAGGAGCATTTTAAAAAATGATAAAAAGCGTCGGGACGTGAAGGCGGTGGCTCTTGGGCCTGGGGGGGGTCCAGTGGGGGCTGAGGAGAGGGCACTGCCTGGTTGGTGGCTGCGAGGCCACTCATTCCTTCCCGCCTGGTCCCCCTGGTGGTGGTGGTGGCGGCGGTGAAGTCACTGAAGCCACTTGTGCTCTAAATGTGCAGCCGAGTGCCCCCAGGCCCTCAGAGGTATTCCTGTAGAAAGTGCAGCAGCGTGACTTCATAGTGCTCGCCGGACTCGGGGCAGCGGATACTGTGTCTCTCATTGGGGTAGATCTGGGTAGACAGAGAAGGAGGGCTGGTGACACCAAGGGACATTGCTGGAGTTGCAGGCCTACCCCTGCACCCTGGGGCACCTCCCTCTTTCTGGTTCGGAGCGTCCCCCTGGGCAGGCGGCTGTGCCACCATCCCCTCCAGGTGGAGACAGAAGAGCACAAGCCCTGGAGCTGACAGAACTGATTCCAACCCTGCCTGCTGCCAGTCAGCCTGCTGTGTAACTGGGCAATTGACAGGCTCCCACACTGCAGGCACCTCTTTGAAAATGGGGCGAAGAATTTGGACCTTGCAGGATCTTTCTCAGGGTCACTAAAACACAGAGCACTTGCACATATGAAAGACTTAAGGCATGGTACTTCCACTCTGTCCCCAAACCTGAGGAGGTACAAAGAGCCCATGTCAGTGGAGAAGCAGAACTTCACACCTCGGGAGCTATTTCCATTTTACCAAAAGGCCACCTCTGGATTGCACACAGCAAGGCTCCCAGCTTGGCCTCCCCCAGGCTTTGCCAACTGTTTCCTGGGTCCCCTTCCCATGGCAAAGGGGGTCATCCCCAGAGAGAGGCAGCAACATGCCGGTGCCACGGGCCACACCCATGGAACTACCGAGTCCCTGAGACCTAGCTGAGGTGATGTCCCAGGCAGACCAGCGATGGGCACAGGTCTTGCTTCTGGCCCGTTCCCACACTCCAGAAGCTCCTGGATGGGCCCTAGGGGCTCATGAAATAGTTGTGAACCTGCTCCACTCTCCCAAAGAACGTGGCTGGCACCAGGCCCAGGAGGCCCAATCCTCACCTCTTCCTGCCAGTGAGATGGGTTTCTGAACTAAACAATTCCTCCCTCTCAAGGCCCATGGCAACTGCCTTATCCCATGACTCTGGAGATGCATCTGACCACCCAGAATTCTCCCCTCCTCCACTCCTGCCTTCTTTAATTCATCCCTGGATGAATCGTAAGTCTGATCAGACTGATCCCAGCTCAGAGCTCTGCAAGGACTTGCCAGACTGACATCAAGACTCAGCCTCTTGGGTCCTGCAGTCTCACAGGCACCACCGCTTTCCCACCTGGGGCACTGGCACATCCAGGACAGACCCTGCTGCCCTCGACCCTTTGCATCACGCATCACCTTGACTTGTGGCTGCTTCTCCATCCTCCTGGGCTGTGAGGGCAGGGAGAGCGTCTGTCTGGCTCCCCACTGTGCTCCCAGCCTGAGCGCAGGGAGTGGCACGGGACGGATGTGATGCGTGAACAAACTGGGCTGCCAGCCGCCAGTCTGACTGTTTCAGGGTGTCTGAACCAGGATGGGGGTTGCTATTCATTTCCCTCAGGGGGTGCCCTGCTCCCACACTCACAAAGTGTTCGTGTCACTTTGGGCATCTCCTGGGGAGGTGGGGCTCAGGAAAAACCCCACGTGCTAAGTGCTTTCCTGGGGAGAGCCTGTTTGGCCCTCACAGCCTCCCTGGGAGGCAGGGGTCCTCGTGCCCATTCCACAGATGAGGACATGAAGCCCGAGGTTAGCAGACCTGCCACCTGTGACCTCCCACCCACAGAAGGGAACAGCTGCCCCAGATGCCTGCCTCATGATTTTGGGTTTTCAGTTCAGAGAGACACTTAAGGGTCCATTCTGGTCCTGCCATTACTTTTCCCCTGACCTGCAGCTGTCTCTGGCCTGTTGGTGAGAAGCAGGGGCTGGTGCGAACAGGGCGGCTGAGAGGCGCTCCAACAGCTCTTCACCCCACAGCAGCTCTGCCTGCCTCCCTCCTGCCACATCTGTAAAGTATGTGCCCAGTCACAGGTCTTTAGAGACCAGTGCCTCCTACTGTGTGACCCTCAGTTATAGTGTCCCCAACAGAACAGAGTGAGCACATGGAAGAGTCGGAAAGCAGAAAGACATCGTGACAGCAGGATGTGATCAAATCTGTCCCGCTCTCCCCCAGAAGAGCTCCACAGTTTACCAAACCTCTTGATTCTAACTGTTGACCCTGTTTCTGCCAGGACAACTGACCCTGTAGCTCACGTCCAGTGGGCCCTCATCTACAGGTGCTAGAGGGGTGCTGGTCCACAGCAGGAACAGTCACAGTCCAGCTCCCAGGCCCGGACACCTCCCCTCATCTTGGGGACAAAATCCAGGCAAGGCTCTGCCCCCCACCAAGGCCCCGCCCCTTACTACTAAAGCCCCACCCCTCTCCCAATGCCCACTCTTCACTCGAGGCCCTAGTCAGCCGAGCCTGCCCCCGTCTCCAACTTACCCCACCAGCCACCCTACTTTCCTGCCCCTGAGCTGCTTCCTCCACCCAGCTCCCTGTGCCTGGTGTCCTCCACACCTCCTCCGACCCTCCCGGGGCCTAGCCGACTGCCGCTCAGTCTTCAGTGCCCGTAAGTGTCACCTCCTCAGGGAATTCTTCTCTGACATCCCATTCAAGGTAACACCCCACCTAGATGCTTCCAGAACACCAGACAGTTCCTCCAAAGCAAATTTCTTCGTTTAAAATAAAACCTAAGCCTGTGTGATAATCTGGTAGCAATGACCTCACTCCAGCAGGCCCTGGGCCCGGGGGGGCTCTGGCCGTGTTCTCCTGTGTCCCCAGCATTGAGGGCAGCAGAGACCAACCCATGACTGCTGAATAAAGCACGGATGAAGGCTGGACGCAGGGAGCCCAGGACGGGGGTGGAGGCGGGCAGTGCAGGCATCTCCCACAGATGCCCTGGGAGAGGTGGCAAGTGCACCCAGATCGCCCTGCCCACCCTGCCAGGTCCTGGGATGGACCCAAAATGTCTAGGAGCCACCCACCTGGAGCTGATAAGGTTTTCCAGCTCGAATCAATTGGGAGACGAGAAAGTTGGTGTGGAAAAAGTGCACGTTCTCATCCAGGAAGCCGTGCAGGATGAGCAGGCGGTTGGGCCTGAAAGACAAAATGGGGTGATGGTCTGGGCTGGGACCTTCCTCTCCTGCCCCGAGGCAGTTAGTCCCCAGAGAGTCCCTCTCCAGCCCAGGGGCAGCGACAACAAAAGCAAGAGAAGGTGGCGGAACTGCAAGTGGCAGAGGGCACAATTGGTGGGTTGAGGAGCCTTCCTCACTTCCTCCAGACAGAGGGGAGAAGGGTGCTCTCAGCGGTGTGTGCGGTGCCCTGAGCTATAGCAAAGCTTTTAGGGCAATGCTGCCCCAAGGTACTCTGGGATGACAGAACGTTCTAGACCTGCCCAGCCCTAAAATTACCATCACCCCCACACATGGCTATTGAGCACTTGAAATGTGGCAAGAGTGGCCAAGAAACTATATTTTTTAAAGTTTTGATTTTAGAAAGTAATTTATTGAGGTGAAATTCACATAATTTAAAGATAACTTGTTTGAAAGTGAACACTCAGTGCATTCACAAGGTTGTACAACCATCACCTCTGAGTAGTTCCAGAACATTCCATCACCCCAAAGCAAAAGCCCATGCCCATCAGCAGTCACTCCCACCCCCTGGCAACCAGCCATCTATGTCTGTCTCAAGGGATTTATTATTCCAATGGATGTGAGTGAATACGAACTTAAATTTAAGCAGGAGGTTCCAAGCTGGGCTGCATGTTGGTGCCTCCAGGGAGCCCAGGCCACACTCCAAAGGGCAGCCTCACTGTGGGGGCCCTGGGCCGGTGTAAGGTAACAGGAACCAGCATGAAAGACACGGGAGCCCGGCATATGTTCAGACAGAGCCACAGCAGAACGTGGTAACACTGACTTCTTTCAACCAGAAAAGGAGACGCCAATGCCAAAAGCATGACCCGGGACATCGGGGCTGGTCCCATGGAATCGATGTTGCAAACTCATGTCAAAACCGGCAAGACAGAGGCTGCTCAGGCCGCAGACCAACTGAAAGGTCCGTGGTGGGTGATGTGCTTCGGTAGTGAGGGCAGCCTGCATGTGCAGTGGTACAAATCTAGAACCTTCTTCCAGCCTTCTGAAGGCAGGGCCGGGGGCCTCCT